ATGGGATGGTGGTATTAGATAAAGAGCACAAGAAGCAAACTGTAAAAGGCTAGGAGGAATAAAGAGCTGATGACAGAAATAGTGAAACAGAAAAACAGCCTAGACATTATGAAAAAAAGGCCCAAAGACTGGAAAATACATTTGAAATAAACAATGAATGACTGTGAAAGAAGACATACGAACAAGAAGATGGTGAAAGAACGAGACAATAACAGGAGAAACAGAAGAGCAACATAGAGGAGGATGGGGAGCGTAGGAAGGCAGCAAGATTGATTTCCTCCCCTCCTCTCTTTCTCTCCGGAACGGCTCCCTAAAGTCTTTGGATTAATGGCTCCATTTCTGCTGCTCATTCATCAGATTCAGGAAAGCATCCCAAAACACAATGCTTCACTAGGCTCTCGTCTGAACTAGATATCTACCTGCCAAAACATCCAATAGGCCCTTAAGTACTTTCAAAGGCAGGCAAAACAACTGTATATCTACCTCAGGTCAAATCAGCAGAGAGCCTGTACTATCCACGGCACGTTGGCTTGTTAGCAGACATTGTGTGATCACAGAGAGTTCAGCCATGAGTTGTAGAAAACTCAATCCCAGTGCTAAAAGTCTAGGATTTTGTTATAATACTTTTAACCATAGGTATTATCTTTTTTTGAGATCAGCTCCGTTAAAGACTCTGCAGTTTATGCGTTAAACCAGATATTTCCATAGCAGTCCTTTGTCCAAAAACACATTTTTCGTGCGCTCTGCTCTTTATTTTAGGAAAATCTGGTGATAGTATCGTTCTGACACAAACTAACTCATCCGTCATGGATGAGTTAGTTTGTTGAGGTCATTCATTTACCTACATTATCCAAACCATTTACAGTAGTAGAAGTTTTGGCTGCAAACAAATCTATGCCTATAAATAAAACAGGCCCAGATGGTCAATGAATCTTGCATATATTACTGTACTACATAAAGACGGGAAAGACCCCTTGGACTGTTCTTCATAAGTCTCCTGGTTCACGATTATAAGGTTATCACTCAATTATTAGCAAAACGACTGGAAACTATCTTACCTCAGGTTTTGTAAAGGGCAGAAACTCTTCTGACAATATAAGGAGACTTTTGGACACCTGTCGGAGGCTTTCTCTGCTTCTTTCTTTAGATACCGAGAAGGCTTATGACGGGGCAGAGTGGAATTTTCTGTTGCATATTAATAGATTTAATATGGGCTCTAGGTTCATAGAGTGGGTCAAATCAATTCATCAAAATTCTAAAGCAGCTGTCATCACTAATGGCAGCTCCTCTGATGTGTTTTCATTAACAAGGGGAACAAGACAGGGGTGTCCACTGTCACCTTTGCTTTTTGCTATGGTCATTGAACCACTGGCGTCATGTGTGCGAGATAACACAAGTAATAAAGGAGTGAAGATGAATGGTTAACACAGCATTTCTTTGTATGCTGCCGATATCATTCTTTCAGAAGATACTCAGGATATACAATCTATTTAAAGACATCTAATGCTTGTTTCTTACATTTCACACACCACAGAAAACATGGCGTCAAGTTCTATTCATAGTTCATGTTGTTTTGTAGGCTACAAGCCACTGGCCAGCAGTAGCCTCTGTTGTCATTTTAATGGGCATATCAAGGGCCACTTGTATCCCCTGGTCCTCCATAGCTAGAGGCAGGCCACGTCTGGCTGCAACATGCCTCACGCTCTGGCTGTGTCACATTGTGCGCCAGCTGTGCCATCTGAACTGCCCTTTCACAGTGTGTGATAGCTAACACGCCAACTCTTGACCCATTCTGATTAATGAGGGTGCAAGCCTCGCCCAGTGCTGGGCTATGTCCCTGTGGAGCTTTGATTGTTCTTCCTCCATGCATACAAAACTGACCTCTTTTCCTTCCATCTGTCCATTGATGTATTGTTTTGTATGCACTGTAAGTCTACCCAGTTACCAATCTCCTTATCCATTTTTCTCCCATCCAGATAGATATTAAAGTGACACTGGTGTAATATCTGACCACTGTTTTTCATTTTCATTTTGTTGAATCTAGCTCCTTCACCCACCATGGTTTTCCCAAACGAAAATTAGCAATCTGTTTAGAGGAGGTCCAACTGAGCCCTGACCAGATTATTGCATTTGGTATTATTAAAGATTATCCTCCTCACACCTAGTTGAACAACCATCAGATTAAGTAGGCGGTAGTTATGGTTGGAGATAGGGATTTGTTTGGCTGATATTTGTTGTTTGTTGGCCGGTTAATCTCCAGAACTCTGTGTAAAGATTAGATTTAGCTAACATGGTTAGAGTCTTTGCGAAAGAGGTATTTTAGTGAGAGGAACTTTGATTTATTGCCATTCTTGGGGAAAATTGCTTATTTTAATTTGTTCTCTCCGGCACAGTGATGAGTGATTATGTCTCCGTAATTTGAGGATTAACAGTGTGTGCGTTCATTATAGGTACATCACTTGATCTGTTAAAAGCATGCATAATAACAAGTTAGTCCACATTTGTTCTTTACAGGGGTTTGACTCTGAAAACAAAGGCCTGAGTTTTTGCCGACCAATGGATGATCAGGCTGTCTATAAAGGCATCCACCATACTAAATATGCCATTGCTGTTCATAGATTCCATTTTCTTACCACAAGGTTCAGTTATGAGGGTTTGGGGGCACTGGGAAGCACTGTAACCCAGCATGCACTTGATTTCAATGCCTTAGTATCTCAATGTTTATCTGCCCCCCAGATTTTTGTTTAATCCATTACGAGGTTTGTGAAATGGGATTAAGGGTTAGGGTCAGGGTTTCCCGCCAGAAAAACAGACAGACAAGTAATTATATTACCTAAGAGGACATTTTAAGAATTGTTTGTCATAATTGGTAGTTTGACGACATGACCACTTTCCCTAATAGAATGAAAATACAGCAGCCAGTCAGCCCATCTGCCTCAGTCTCAGTCGGGAGTAGACTTGTCTTTTCTGAGGACAGTATGTGAGCTGTGTGAAAGCATATTGCCTGCTGTGCTGACCTGAAGATTGGGTCATACGTTGGGTAAATTAGTCCCCCCCCTGCAGCTTCCCTGGCTGCCAACTGTCAGTCTGCCACGGTCTTATCCAGGAGTGCCATATTACTTTAGAAGCTTTGGCCTTTTAAGTACAGAGATAGACTCTTTAAACCATAAAGCACCCCAGGGAGCCTAAAGACTGCCCCCAAACTCACATCCCTCAATTACACACACACATTTGCAAGAACGCTAACAAACAGCCTTGTCTTTCGTCTAAGATGGCCTATAAGATGGCCTCTAAGATGGCCTATAAAATGGCCTCTAAGATGGCCTCTAAAATGGCTAATCCATAATCTAATCTTGTCTCATAAGGCTGATCTTATATTTAAAGTAAGTAGCTTGTTTGAACAATCTCATAATGCGCTCAACGATCTTCATACAAATCTTGTGATTTTGAGGAAAGGCTTAAGTCTTCTTTTAAATTAATGAAATGGATCCCTCCTAATTAGGCCTCAAACCTTTTTGAGGCCTTTTTGAGGTTTGTTTTTAAAAAATAATTTTATTTTTGGACAAATGGATGGATGGATTGATTTTGGAGAATTTAAAAAGAGACAGTATTATGGTATCAAAACTTGACTATATTATGACGTTTAGGGGTAAAAAGGTCATCCTAACAATTGGAATGAATTACATATCCTGCAAGCACTCTTAAGCGGGTTAATTTGTCTTTAAACAAAAATTAAGAATAAACTGGAAAATAAGTTATCTATCTCCAGAGATTGCCTGTAAAGGTTTTATGAGTTTTCAAACCTTACATTTGAAACTTTATAGGAAAATCCTGCCAGTGTCCTGTTCTTGGGAACAACAGAATCCCCTGGAATGTCACAAATTCATTAGTTGTTCTTCCAACCATCATTAGTTATACTGAATGAGTTTTTACTTCAATGCCCACACTCTTTTCTCCTGTGTCTGTTCTCTTATTATTTTGCTGATCAAACACACTGTGAGTAAAGTTGTCATTTTTAGCGGAAAAATACAGCTTAGATAGTTTCTGTAATTATGCAGTGACCTGTTTTGGTTGCCTTCGGAAGCAGATAGAATCTAATTAGGAAGACAGAGGGATTGGTTTGAACACGCTTATTAGTGTGCAGCCAGTCGTGGTACACAAACCTGGGGATGAGAGCCCAACATATGGCTGGATCAATGCTGTGTGTGTGTGTGTGTGTGTGTGTGTGTGTGTGTGTGTGTGTGTGTGTGTGTGTGTGTGTGTGTGTGTGTGTGTGTGGTGTGTGTGTGTGTGTGTGTGTGTGTGTGTGTGTGTGTGTGTGTGTGTGTGTGTGTGTGTGTGTGTGTGTGTGTGTGTGTGTGTGTGTAGGTTTAAGCTGCTGTGTGTGTGTGAGTGAGTGACATATGGGAAAGGCAGTAATAACTACTCCAAATGTCTGCAGATCTATAAAGGAACGTTCGTGATAAACTCAGAGTGACCCTGAGCATGGCACCGAATCAACTATGATAATGGGAATTATTCTATCATACTGCTGAAGAGACCATCGATCTAACTGTAGATCTGTTATTATTATTTGTATTTATTTTATTATAACCCTTTTTATTTTTACTTATAAAGCACTGCTTTCTGATTCAAGGCTTAGGATAAGGAATTTATTTGATCTCTTTATTAATACAAAAAATGAATGGTGTATTTTGAATAAAGCACATGTATGGATAGAAATAAGCCAACACATACAGTACAAGTTATGTTGAACAATTGATTTACAGAGGGATTGCTGTGTACTTTAATCAATGTAGAGGAAATCCTCTTTAGAATGTAATTAAAAGTTCAAAGGTAAAAGCCTCGAAAATCTTTGACTGATCATTATTTGGTTTCTTCCCAATGTGTTTCCTCATGAGATGGTTCAGTGGAATCAGTGGCTCAGCAGTGTCTTCTTGAATCAAGCTTCCTCCTCAGACCAATAATACACTTTTTGTCTCTGTTCATTTCCCCTCCAGATCCGGTCCATGGTCCCCAAACTGTCAACGTGGTGGATGTCAGAGCCCGGCAGCTGACTATACAGTGGGAGACGTTTGGGTATGCAGTGACACGCTGCCACAGCTACAATCTGACGGTACGCACCACTACGCACAATCTGTGCCGCGACTATGAACTCAGAAGTGCAGGTTTCGTTTAGTGTACATTCATGTGTCGCCACCATGAGAGCATTAGGTGAACAGTACAAATTGGTGGCACATACAGTATTACCCATTTACTTGAAACATTTAAATACATTTCGGCAAGTGCATTAGATTAATTATATATTACAACTTTTAAAGTTCACTGACGTACAACAACAAAGAATATCTTAGTAGAACAAAAGTTGTATAACTATAGACTGGTGCAGAAGTGAGTCCTAAAACCAGAAATGATTTAGTATTTTACTTCTTCCAGTTCCCTCGTCTCGAAGTCAACTGTATTTTGAACTTGAAATAAGATCTATGGTTAACACAAGCCTACAAGATGTTCACGTTTGGTTCTACGACATCAAATACATCAAAAGTGATTGTTCCTAATAAGTGAGTGAATGAAACTACTGAACGTCATAACGCCAACGCAAGTCCGTCTTTAGCTTAGCGGTGCATTTCTGTAGAGGGAAAACCTTTCTATGTTTACTTCCTGGTCGTCAAGTGAACATATTAAAGTATTGAAGGAGCCAGTAACCTTACAAATGCTAATACATTTGAATACATTGTCTGTATTCAGACTCTTGAAGCACCACTGCCTCAGGTTCACTTGTGATCTGTAATAATCATTAAGCCTGAATATTAAAATCACAATGTGCTCTGGTTCTTGTTTCTTAATGTTCTAAGTGTTCTTGTTTCATCAGAGCTTTCCAGAGTTTAGTACATCAAGTGAGGGCAGCTCTGCCTTTGTAATCATTGTCTCTAAGCAACTCCCAGTGGAATAAAGGTCCTGTCTGCCTCTGCTCCCCAGGTGCAGTACCAGTATGTGTTCAACCAGCAGGAGTTTTCAGCAGAGGAGTTGATCCAGACATCGTCACATTACACTCTGAGGGGGCTCCGGCCTTTTGTGGAGGTCAGACTGAGGCTGGTGCTGGCCAACCCCGAGGGCAGCAAGGAGAGCGAGGAGATAGTCAAACATACAGAGGAGGACGGTGAGTCAACATATACTCAAATAATGTAACAGCCAACTGTACACAATATTTTGATCCAACCTATAACCAGACAGTTCAAGGGAGCTTGAACTATTCCAACAACTCAGTGTCCGGCTCACAGAAAGTCGTTCAGAAAGTCATAACATTTCTGACCATGACAACAGCAGTTGTTTAGAATAAATGGAAGGAGCAATGGCCACCTAAAGTTTATACCGAGACACAAATGATTCACCCAATTCTGTTGCTTTAGAGAGTTTAATGGCCTCTTTATTTATCTTTATCTGATCATGCTGTCATGCCAGCATGATCAGGATCATTTTTGCTACATGCCCATCATAAAGTTGACCGATAAAATAAGCAACTCTCTGTAGAAGAATGTGGAAAATCCAGCAACTAAAGGGACAGATCATATTTGTAGGGTTGTCATAAACCTTAAGAAAGCGTGACATATTATAATTGCAGGATTGCTGGTTAAATCCCTGCAACATCCATATCTGCACCAATCAACAGCTGCTCTCATCACTGTGCCCTTTGGCTAGAGATCTACACAGGCTGTACTGACATACTTTATTAATGTATCACATATAAAGTACCCGAGGAGTTCAATTGACTTCAAAACAACATTTTAAACTCCTCTTTCCTTTCCAGAGGGCTCCATGTTCCGCTAATTCGAAACAGAGAGTTTGCCCCGGCCTCTACTACTAATAATTCATTGATACTTTACATTCCTCTCAACAACTTGCCTGCGATAAAATTGAATTACACAAAGCCATTAGAGCAATCCTTGATCAGCAGGATCAAAACATTGTTCTAATGATACCAAATCTCATCTCTGTCCCACCCTCCTCAAGGCACACTCTTCTTCTTCTGATCTCATGACTAATACCCTCTGAATTTAGCTTCTGGGGAACATCTCGTCTCAGCCTGAAAATCCTACCCTTCACTGGCTGAGCACACACATACTGCAAGTTTTCTATACGGAGTTAACATGACTGGGGAGAATCGATTGCTTTGGGGGCTGAAGAAAAAAAAAGCCTTAATTGTTTTGTGCTTAATTGTTTTTTATTTAACCGTCGTTAATCTCCTGGTTGTAATTCAGTAATTAGGGAACACAACAGCAATTGTTCACACAGAGTCTAATTGCTGTTTGTACGGTAATGGCTTTATAGAGCTGCTGCTCCTGCAGATGAAGCGGCTTCTCCTACACACACACATACTTACTTGTAAAGGTTGTTGATGAAATAGAAGTTTATTTTAATCTATGCAAATGGAAAACATGATGGATTTTCAATTAAGATATAATACCTCTTTTTGATCATGCTTCTCAGGTTTTTAATTGTTTCACTGAAAGCTGCACTTTTAACATTTACTACATATTATAATGCACACACACACAATACATGCAGTACCGTTAAAATGTTGACTGTTTCGCTGAAAAGCATCCTGCATTGTTAGTTTTGTACACATATTATTGTAGAACATTGTGCTAAATTAGGGTTATCAGTTAAGGATTGTCCATGTTTACTTGGACACACCACAAGTCTTATTGTTTTGTAGTGTGTTATATGACTTGTATGCATGTAAATCAGGGGTGTCAAACTCAATTTCATCGCGGGCCACATTAGAATGATGGTTGCACTCAAAGGGCCGGTTGTAACTTTAAGACTATATAAATATACATGGATAAATATATATAATATATATAAAATAATGTATTATTTTACAATATTTCCTCTGCATTGGATTATTATCGGATAGGGTAATAACTTCATAATTAGCTACGTCTGAAAGCAGAAGTCTAGGGCAAGTAATTGCAAGTCTCTTCAGTGAGCATCTCACAAAATGAGATGCATTGTGGGACATGTAGTTTATGGGCAACGTGCTCCTGTAAAGCAGCACGTAACCTTATAATAAACTTATTATATTCTTTGTAAGCTCTTGTGGGGCCACATACAATGAAGTGGCGGGCCGGATTTGGCCCCCGGGCCTTGAGTTTGACACCCCTGATGTAAATGGTCTGCAAAGGCTTAAATCCCAAAGTGGGAGGGAGTTTTCTCTCCGACACACACAGACGGTATGAGCAAATGACAGAGCTTTTTGAACATTAAAGCACGGACGCATGTCACAGTAGAGGCACTAAATACAAATATGAACCTGAAAATGAGCAATATAGGGCACCTTTAATGTCTATACACACAAATGGTATAGCACACATATTTACTGTGATTCTAACAGTATTGTAGACGTACACATGTGAAATGCATTTTGTTCTCCTTTCACACTATTCATTTGTCCATCCATTCCTAGAGACAAAAGACAATGTGAAGAGAATGTGAAGACACACACACACGCACGCACGCACGCACGCACACACACACACACACACACACACACACACACACACACACACACACACACACACACACACACACACACACACACACACACATGCCTCAAAGACAAATGTCATGTCCACTCATTGTACACACCAGCCTATTAACCTGAGCATGAACACATAATTGTCAGGTAGCTGTCAGGTCAGCTCAACACATCAGCCAGGACTCTAATGCATCAAATATGTGCCAGAGGAAGTCAGTGTAGCCTTCCTGTACACATTCTGCTCACTAAGAACTATGTTAGACATCAATACATTACATTTTTCATTTAGATGACACTTTTATCCAGAGCAACTTACAAAGCCTTTTACAGAGATCAGATACCATAGGCCATGCCTACGGGCACAGTTTGGGATTCAGTTTGCCCAAGGACCCTTTCACATGTTGACTGCAAACGCTGGTGATTCATTGAAACCATTGAACCCCCTGAGCCACAGCCGCCCCATAACAGAATGTGTTGTTCAGCAACATAATGCAAAATGCACACCTTTTTTTTGTTATTTGTATCAACAGACTATCATCTAAATGTCCCTGAGCAAACCTTTTAAGATTCCAGCTGCCCTAGCTCAAATTGTAGTAAACTGAGATTAGTTCCCAATAAATTGGTGTGGATGGGAGAATGTTGGCTTCGAGGAATGGCTTATATAAAACCAAAGTCATCGTCAATATTTCATATTACATTTTTCTTTCCTGATATGACAACTTGAAATGCAAGCAATGACATGGGTTATGAGAATAATCCAATAAAAACAAGCCCCGAACAAATGTTCTCAAAGCTGCCTATAAACTAACAACTTATCAATATTAAATCAACAACTATTTAGCGTGGTTGCCTTTTGACAGTGTAATAAAAATAAGTTTTAACTTAAAGATGCCTAATGTAGCTTAAACACAGAAATTCATGTTTACAGTCAGTGTAGCTCCCCAATTAGCATATTGTTTAGCGAAGGTCTAACACATATTAATGCATTTTTTACTTAAATTAACGGAGGTTTCTTTTTTTGTTGATAAAATTGTGTACTACCATATTTTAATTGAGTTCATGCTTGGATTTTATTTATTGCTTTGGGTCAACATGTTAGTAAACAAAACACATTGTGTTTTAAGGGCTCTTCATGCCTATTTTCTAGAGAATTAATGATAAAGCCTCTCAAAAGAACTAATGAAACTGTGTTATACTTATAATAAAGTAAACAAATACAAGAGTTAATGTCTTAAATAGCAATACAAATATTAGGTGCTTTCACACTGCAGTACTTTTCCCACTTTAGCTCCGATATAGTTCCGAAATGTTGCGTTCACACCAAAAAGATCCGGAACTAAAATGACTTCATGAGAACCTTTTTACCCCCTTTTCCGTCAGTTTTCGACTTTCGTGGGAGAAAAAGGTTCCTATGTCTGATTGGCTGGGCGGATTGCAAACCACGCCTGAAAAACTCCCAAAAAGTGTTGTGAAGCCACCATTTTATTATCCTCGCATTAGCATTATTAGCATTAGCATTAGCCCAGCGCACAAACGCAGAGAGACTAACTTATGGCAACACAAAAGAAAACATGGGAGCGGTGGAGATGAGGAGGTGTCGGCGTTCTGGAACTAAATAGTTCTCATGAACTAAGTTCTGATGAACCTTTGTGGGAAAAGTACTGCGGTGTAAAAGCGCCTAATATGTTATGCATGTTGATGCTACCATTTATGAAAACAACTCAATTGATGTTGTTTTCCAGTGTAGATATCCTTTCAGTGGTTAAAAATGTTTCAAAGTCAAACAGCAGATATTAAATATAAAAATACTGATCTGTAATCCCTATTTTTGTGTCATGTTTATATCTTTATAAATACCCCATTCCTATTAAAGAGCAACGCGGTCCCCTCACTCAAAGGACATTAACAGTCGTCGAGATGTAATAATCCTTTTATCTTCAGAGCAGTGGGTGTTTTCTAAGATCACAGTGAAAGAGAAACAACAATCAGATACATCAGCTTTGTTATTTTTCCGTGTATTTCTCAACAGCTGTCACTTTTCCAAAAAAGGCAATTCATCAAAGTGCATTTAGTAATAGAAGTGCACTCGTTATTTATGTGCTTTTAATTATTTTCACCGTGTTTAGTATTCTATGATCATTTGCTCTCAAAATTAACAGTAGTTTGATGTGGAGAAAAAAATCGCCAACAAGCCTTTTAAGTGCTTATTCAGGTTAACATGTTGACAAATCATGTTTGTACTTAACATTTCAAAGACTGCAAACAAAGAGTGCATCTTTGACTTTTAAAAGCACCTTGTTTGTTGTCAGGTGAAGTTTATGGAGATGACACTGTGATATTTGAATGTTAAAATAGGGAACCACAACATGTTATATCCAAAGGTTCCACTCACTTAACATCAGTTTTTATACAGAACACCTGCTCATGCTAAAGAGACATTCCTGCTTTAATTTAAAACCAAAGTAAATACAGTCTGGTCTTTGATCATAACAATTTATACAAAGCTGCAGTGCAATCCTTATAAAACATCTAAATGTAATCTTAATCCTGTCCACCAGCACTACTAGTAATTCCTTCCCGCTTGCTTTTCATCAAGATGTGTGTATTTGTTCCATGGGAGG